ATTAATTTTTTGACGGATATATGCCGATCCAGGAGCGTGGCAAGGTAAAATTGCGCCTAGTGCAAAGTTTGTCCGAAGCGCCTTTTTTAATAATAATAATGTGGTCTTTGCATATTTTTTATTATAAATAATACTGCACTTCTTAAATATATAAATACAGATTTTGCATACTTTTTATTTAAAAAAATGTTTGACTAAATGTTTATTTAAAATTTACTTTAGCAAATTCGTCGATCACTTTTTTGTAATTGATATTGCAACATAATTCGTTTTCAATAGAAATCATTGCGAAGTCATTTAAACGCAGTTGAGTCATGACTGATCGAAGAAAAGTTTTAATCAATTTTAACTTTGAGAAACTGCGTTCCCGGTAGCAACAGAAACAGGTAATGTCAACAAAATTCGCAACGCAATTACAACATTTGGGAACACAGATTCGTAGCCATTGGTTGAAATATAATTTAGTGCTTCTAATTGATCCTCGAGCCTGTACGCTGTACGGCTGTTGCTGTGGCTTTTATTTATTTCTCTTATTCACTATACTTATTTTACAATTATTATATTACTTATTTACGATCAATCCTGACTCAAGTGCACTTAAAATTGCAAAATAAAAACTTTGTAAAATACTTTTGTATAATTTTTATTTTAAAAAATTTTAGGACTTTTTGGCGCCTAGCAAAATTTGGCGCCTAGGGCACTTGCCCGGTTGCCCTACTGGATGCCACGGCCCTCATTTTTCTTTTCATTTCCCTTTTCCTTTTACCATTTTCTTTTTTTTCTTTTTATTTCCATTTTCTTACAGGTCGGATATGTCAATGTTTTTTACTATTTATTTACAAGGTGTTACTCATCTGGGGGCGAGATTGTTGAATATTTGCACTTAGCATTGAATAACTTGATTTATATTTACACTAATATTTTACCATAACATGTTTATTTGCTTTGTTGTAATGTTAAGGTAAAACCTCTGGCACATTTTAACCGGGTAATAATTTATATTAATACGAGAGCAGGGTTATTACTTGTTTCGAATATCTGATATATTTGATTTCGATAATCTCTCCTTAAATGTAATAGTGATAATTCTGCCTGACATATGCCAGAGATATATTTAGAAGTAGGTATTGGACAGGTATTGACTGATTTGTGTCAATCTTTAGGGAAGCCGGTGCAAAAATATGTCACCTCTCGAAGCGCATCGATGCTATACATGTGTTACATATAAGTATGCAAAAAATGTGGCTGATAGAGGGGATCAAAACAAACACTTTTTCCAAATAAACCGAGGGTCAACGTGTTTCGTTTGAGAGTCACCTCCAAAAAAGTGGTAAAATTTGCATTTCTTCTTTAATTTTTTTTATCAGCAACCAAAAGAGTTAGAAAGACTGGTGACACGTTTTTGAATAGGTTTTCGGGTATGCCCTTTTCGAGTTTGCAAAAATGTTTTTGAAATTCCTACCACGAAAGGGCCCGCCCCTAAATGGGGGCGAGAAAAAATTCCGATTTCGACGAAATTTGGTACCTCGGAGTTTTTGAACATGAAAATCAGGAAACTGATGTCGGTAAAAACATTTGTTTTGCGCATGCGCAATCTGATGGGTAGGTTTTTGAAAATTTGCACTTAAAGGTGAAGGCCGAATCGAAGTAAAACATTTTCAAAATGGTGGCATTTCCGGAAATACTAGAAGTAGCTAGTAATAACTTCGTTATTTTAAATAGCAACCCCTGTTTTTTTATTGCATTTTTTGATTTTACGTGAAATTTCAGTTCTTTTGATACTCACATGTCAATATCTACAATTTAATGTAGTTATAGGTAATTTTGAATTTAAAAAAATGCTCGATGCAGACGGTACCTTGAAAATTGGTTACTTGAAAACGGTTGTAGCTATGGCAACTCATTTTTAACAGTGTATAGAGAAAGAATGGGGCTATCTTTTAGTGGACTTAAGAAAAAATAAGTTGCGTATGACCGTACCTATGGAGATCCAAATTTAAGAAATTTCAAAGGTTAAAAACTCATTTTAATGAAATGACCATTTTCTTTTTAGTAGTCCGCCATGATTTTATGACAATCGAATTTTAGAAAAATCTTTTTTCAAGTACACTAGAAGAAGAGTTGGAACTAAACGAAAACGAACAAACGCAGTTTTTTTTAAATGACGGTCACTATCCCCCACGTAACCGTGCTCCGTAAGATCCAAACACATGGTTGGAACGTGGTTGCCACCACAAAAGTGTTCCCCATTTTGGCAATGACGCACCAAGATCATCATATCAATGCCCAAGATTTGAATTTTACACATTTTTGGCGACTACATATGGATTTTGCGCAAAACATATCAAAGTTGTTATTAATGCACCACGATGGTTGGGAAAAAGATTAAGAATCAAATGCCATACTATAGGGAATTACAAAGGTTGAAGGACAGGGAAGACAGGGATAGTTAAAAATTTAATACATTGCTTACATAAAGTAGGCCATTCCAATCTCAAGAAAGTAAGAACCCGTAAAGTGCATATATTTTGTATATATTTCTATATAGTTTAGTCAATATCTAATTTTCTAAACGAGCCTTCAATTCCGAAATGTTCGGATAAGACCGACTTCCTAATCCGTTTCCTTTCGTCACAACCATATTTAGCATCTTCCAAAAACATGTCTCTATAGCTTTCCACCTTAGTTTTCCATTTCACTTAAACATTATTAGTTGGGAACCTTCCATCGTTAGGGTTTTATGTTACCTGTTAATGCCTCAATTGTCTCACCCTCTCCGCCGTAGTCTGCAGGTAAAGCGGATTTTGGAATATTGTCATACAAAGACTGCGCGTTATCTTTAGAATATGCTACCACCTGTAAGCGACTAACTGTTGATTTAATGTTGCAATGAAATTCTTACCCTACTGCCAAGCTTCTTTCCCATGATGACCTTTCCTACGTTTATAATACTTTCAAAAATCGGATGCATGTTGATGATATAGAATCCTTTGAGGCGACAGGGGTACACATCTTTCAAGCACAAAATCGCTTTCTGACAGAGGGTTGGTGTAACTCGTAATAATTGATTTTTGTTAAATGCACTGAAGTCAACGAGAAAACGTTGACCTTGAATAACGCAATAGTCGTCTTCATTTAAAATAATATCAGTTATCATTAAGCATACTTTTGTAATATCTATTAGCGATACGTGCGTCGGGTCAATGTTGGCGGTTCTCACTAGAAATATTTTCGGTCCGACTTTGGTGTCTATCGGCAAAAAGAGTCTGAATTTTGGTGTAATAAATAATATTCCAAATAAATTTTACCCTAATTTAAGAATGTGTTGAATTTCTGGCGAGAGGGGGTCTCTTTTGCCGAAAAACTCTGGTAACGCACTTCTAACCGTATAAAAATTGTCCAACTTTTCTTTGGTTCGGTCCAAACTAAATTTACATCCTCGCAAGAAATTTAATATCCATTGATCGTCTGCAAAAACAAGAACTATAGGTAGACAAACTTTATTAAAAAATCAACTAACCTGTTCTTGCGTTTAAATGAGATTGTTGAGTAAGCCATTTTTGTATATGTGCAACATCTTCAGGAATGCGACTTGTAACTTCATTTATTTTGGTCACTGCCAGGGATCGTAACTCTGGAGTTAATTGCCTGAAGCCCATGGTAAATGCAAATCGGCGAAGAAATCGATTATCAAAATCAATAATTCAATTATAACGCTAAATAATTACTTTATTGTAAACGTATTTTGAATTCCGTTGTTGTACTTGGAACGTTTACGCGCAATTTAAATACAAGACTGAACTACCTATATGGAAATCCCAATCCACATTTCATTTTTTAAATCCTTAGGGTGTCTACTATGCTTGTCACGAAAGATGTCGTGCGTCATTGTTTGCTGCCGTTGAAAACACTCAAATGAAATTTTCCTAACTTTTTCCTATATTGTTGTGTTTATCCTATATGTCAAGAGTGGCGACCTTTACGCATCTAAGGATTACGTTGACGATAGTATTTCTTACTTTAACAATAATAGATACATAACAGAATCAAAATGGGGCCACGGTTATCAACGGTTCATAAGTCACCAGAGCGATGTGCTACCTACATCTCAATAATCAGAGAATGAACGACACTTGATGCTTTAAATAGTTGACATGATCATTGGCACATATAACCAAAACGAATTTTTGTGCAAGTTTTGGCACCAAACCCACCTAAATTTGTATAAGTACATCATATCCAACATTCAAGAATTTTAAATTGATGGCTCATAATCTTCAAGTCTAATAACTTGAAGGTAACTTTCTCTACAATTATTAATGCTTGAACTTTCAGTATGTGGAATGTTTTATTTATTGCTAATTCCATTAACTATGTTGAATTGTAAATCATTGGGGCTGATAACAAAATGTCACTATCGTAACTCGACAGCTACGAGTAAAAAATTTACTGTATGCAATTCTTCATTACAATGGTGAATGACGGGTAATTATTTCTGTCTGTAGTTTGAAAACTAACTTTTTCGGACCAGTTTTTTTTAGAAGGATTAAACGGCAAATAAAACTGCAAAATGTTGCTTGCCTAATCTAATCTCCAATAATGACAAGGTTACCCACTTGACCTTACTTGATCTGCGACAATTTTGAAATACCTTCCTATCTTTAAAACAAAAAAGTGAGATAAAGTTTAAAATATATTAAATCAGCTAAGAATTCTGCATAACTTTGTGATGTACCTATAACCTACCTAACCTTCTTGTATCTCTTATAATAATTGACATACCAATTGGTTAGCATCGAAACATGGTCAGTCTGGATATCAACATAATTCAATACATTGCGTGAAAAAGGGAGGTTGCAATGCACAAAAAAGAATAATACTTAATGATTCGCGAATAAGAAGCTAGTGCATGTTGAAGGTCAAATTGTTTATTAGAAGTTATGCAAAAACACGATCCACACTTCCAAAAAAAGCATCCACTAATCTAGTGAGTTACTGCATCCTCATTTTTTGGTGAAGTCATCGAATAGCGAATGGAGAGAGAGACAACTGGCGATTGTGGTGTTTTCAAATTTACGCAAAAATGATGAAGTATGTAGGTAAAAACAGGGTCGGCTCAAGACAAAAGTTACGTGTACGCAAGCACTAAAATTTGCGCCCTTGTCCGCCGCGCTGTAGCCTGAATACGGGGAACTTTTGGCAAGCACGTTTTTAAAAATACAGAGGTTCATATTAGTTAAAACATATTTATTGCTAGCAGACCCGGCAAACTTCGTACTGCTCATCAGACAATGTGTTGCTGTTGAATTGCGATACTCATTTTTGCAAAAAAATTAAAAAAAAAACTGTTCATGCAGAATCGCAACCGTTCGCACACATTCAATCGTTATTGAACTTTTTCTTGTTATGGGAACTGATTGTGTTTATTTCAGGGTTTATTTGCTATTGTTGCATAGAATGAGTTCGCATTCGGAAAAACAGGAATATCCTTGAAAGCTATACATATATATGACTCTTAACAGCCTACTGTCTATATGAAACATGGAAAATAGGATTTTTTCCAATTTATCTTACATCGTGATAATGCTTTTATGCGTGATCGTTTGGTCTTAAAAATAGAAACGGCGTTTATATCCGTGATACGGCAAACATTAAATTTGAGTAATCTTTGCGCCCCTTCTTGTCTGCGCCATAAGCGGAGGGTTACACCGCTTACGCCTAAAGCCGGCCCTGGGTAAAAATAATAAATTAATAGATTTTTACCTTATGTCCATTGTAAAACCGCCGTTTCATTTGTCAGTGCATTCGTGATAAAATCAGCAAAATAACTGTAGACTGTAGACAACTGGTGTGCTTTTACTCTGTGACGTTTGACCTTCGACTTTAAATTATAATTAAAATCAGACACAAGGTTAGGATCGATGCACACGGGCGATTTCCAATGCCAAGTTCGCAAATGACGCGATTCACACGCAGGCGAACTCGCAGCGAAGTCGCCGCGTGCACGTTACTGGTTGCCAGGGACTGCTTCTTCGCCACGATCTCACGTCGAGAGTTTCTCGTACGGCGGATAAGCATCTTTACCCAAGCGCAACTTTTTTACATTATAGTATATAGATCATTATAGTTGCAAGAGACAAGATTATATTTTTACTTTGTCAACTCCTGTCTTGGTCCTTAGTTAGTTCCCGCCGACACTGAGCAGCGGCGTCACTTGTTACACTGAAATTGTTGATTTACCGCCCGCCAAGATACAGACTTTATTTACAAAAAATATGATTTCATTTTTTGGGGTAATGTTTAGAAATAACTTATCTAAAAAACTGTCGGTTTACTTTTTCCATAAATCGTTTTGATCGCGAGTAAAAAAATGAAACAGATTAGCGCAATAATCGGTGCAAAACAGCTAATCTTTAAACAATAAATATTCAGTTGCTATACACTTTTTAAAAAAAATAGTCCGAACATTTTGTAGATAAAGGTCTAAATTTATAAAATAGTTCTTTACAAAAATTTTTTTTTGAAAAACAACGAGTTTTTATGGCGGGCGCACTTATGGGAATTTACATTGGGTGCCGTGGGTACAGAAGACTCTTAAGCAGTACTCGTGGAGACATTAGGCAGTTCACACGCCTTGCCGCTCGCTTGCGCTGGCGTCTACAAATTATTTATCAATGTAATCGTATGTTAGTAGTTGCCAGTAGATGGATTCTACGGGTTTTGAAACTGAGATTTTTACTAAAGCTGTAAAGAACCGTCCTGGAATATGGAGTACTTCATTGTCAGAATACCACGATAAAATTAGGAAGAGAAACCCGTGGACGGAAGAATGTTCACTAATGTGCAATGGGTTTGAAGACAAGTCGGAGAAAGAACAAAGAACATACTGCGATTCTTGGTGCGAAGTTGCGATCTCTCCGAGAAAAGCTCGCCCGTGTGTATTGTGGTGTGGTGTGCTCGCGGCGAGAACGCTACGGGCACGCCACGAATCCACTCGCTCGTGTGCGTCGAGCCTTAGAGAATGCACATTGCTTCTATTATCACAAATTTGATGATTGACGAGTGGTAAAAATGTTGATTTTACATACCTCATACTCCTACATTTATATATCCATGGAAGTTGATAGATTTAATGGTCACATAAAAGACCGACCCCTTGATCGAGCATGCTGAAGTGTCATTAACTACACCTGATGACGGATCTAATTCAAGTCTTTTAATCTAATTCTTTTGGTAATCAATTCGCAGCCTATGGACGTGACTGCCTTCTTTGATGAGGGACTGTAATCGTCAATTGAAATTCGTGATTTTTCCCTTTTTTAAAGGCCAACCAATGCGACACTGACCATAGATCTCATAGTATAATTTAACAGCTGGTTAGCTTCGCATTATACCAGCATTATCAACCAGGAGAACAAAATACGGCAGAAAGGGTGCTTAGAGATGGATTCGAACTGCATCTATCTTTTTAGTACTTGGATCGAGATTCGGGTCGTTCTTCTTCTCAAGTTACAACTAGTCCAGGTGATCATAGTGCCAATGCTATTCAGTAGATTTAAAGGAATGAGCATGTACCACCGATCTTGTTATTTCTTATTAACTTAAATATATTATGCTTTGACACAACAAGCTGTTAATTCTTTTAAAACTGTAACGGGAGCCCGCTAGAACGGTTAAATTTGTTTGATTTTTAATTAGATTTTATTTTTTTGTTTCGTACAAAGAATTACAAAAAAAGATGTAAGCAGTAACAACTAACGAAAACAAAAAAAAATCTCTAAGTTTGGAAGTGCATTGGCTGTATCCATGCCAGGCATTTACAACATATTGGGTCATATACGAATTTTGCCTGTGCAGGGTGGCTTATTTGTCATGGCCAGTGTTGAAAGGCGGAGTTCATCGCACTTTACGGTGATCTTCCACTCAACCTCAACCTTGTAGTGTAAGATCCCGTGTAAATAAATATTATTGCCTACTGGACAGGAGGGATACCGGGAGATTTTCGGGGGGGGGGGGGGGTCTCTGGTCACCGGGGGCCCTAATTCAATGCCTAATATTGTTATTAATAAGTAAATGGCTATTATTACAGTAGAAACTCGATTATCTGGACTGGATTTACGGTAGGATTTAAAGAATTCTACTTTTCTGCTTCGGAGATATTTAGAAAAATAAAATGACGGCTAAGTGAACGCTTAGCGCCCCAAAGATGAAGACGAAAAGCGTGTAAATCTCGGATTATAACATCGCTCCCGTACAAACAGGAGTTGGATCCCTCTATTGCAAAGTCAACAAAACAAATTCAAACGAAAGGGAAGAATCATCTTGGATTCAGTAGTTCAGACGGAACGAATACAGGATACATAAAGAAAAGTTGTAGAAGGTAGGAGGAAGAGGACGATGATTTCGTGCCAGCAGGTGATGATAATGGTATGGGAGTGGTGGGTCAAACTGTTCCTGAACAAAGTGAGTTGAAAATGGTTAATTTCATCCTGTGGCGAGCGATCTTGAGGGATGCCTATTTTAGCTGGAAAACGTATTATCCCTTGTTGTGAACAATCTAAATGCCAATTAATGTTACGCCACTGTGTGGTTATCAGTGAGTACGGAAGGGGGCGTTTGAATAGCCAGCAAAATAGATCAGAAAAAGCACGTTTTATTTTTTATGTAAAAATACAGTTTTCCGTTTACTTTAATAAATTACGATATAATAATACTGTTGTTATACTTGAAAAAGGCCAACTCTGCCACAGGTTATGGGCCCAGACCAAACTGGTGTATAAAACTGTTACAGAGGGAATATACGTTGTAAAACGGCAAGGGTAGTAAAAAGTAAAATGGAGCAACAGGTGGTGACCCAATTTATTAAGCTAAATGAGAATAACTGGAACGTGTGGAAGTTTCAAATCAAAGTAATACTTACGGCCAAGGAACTCTATGATATAACTGTGGGAATTGTAAAACAACCTGATGGAGAACACACAGGGAAGGAAGTGAAAGAGTTCAAAGTGAAGGATGCGAAGGCACAGGAAGTGTTAGTAACACGCATGGAGTCAGGTCCTCTCTTTCATATATTAATGTGTGAATCGGCACATGAAATGTGGACAAAACTGGAGTCGATATATGAAAGACAGTCGAATGTTAGTGTACACTTACTGCAGCAGAAGTTTTTTAATATGAAGTTTGAAGGCAGTGTAATGGATTTCATAACTAAGATACAAAATCTGGTTGCGCAAATTAAACAACAAAAGGAAAATATACCAGAAAATATGGTTATCACAAAAATACTAATGTCCTTGCCTGAACAATATAAACATTTCGTTTCCGCGTGGGAGTCGGTTCCGGAAGACAAGCGTAATTTAACAAACTTAAGTGCAAGATTATTGGTAGAAGAAGAACGTTTGGGTTCGGGTGAAGAGACAGTTGCACAACAATCACAAGTGAAGTGCTTCTCTTGTGGTAAAGCCGGGCATAAAAAGGACGAATGCAGAAGTGGTGGACGGTTTAAAAATAAAAATGTCGAGTGTAACTTCTGTAAGAAAAAGGGGCACATGTTTAAAGATTGCTGGTTCCGAAAATCGAAACAGAAAACAAAGGAGGAGAGCAGTGGCAGTGGTGAAGGAGGTTGGGCATTCGGTTGGAGTTACTGAATTGCAGTTGGATACTGAATGGTATTTGGACAGTGGGGCATCTGAGCATATGTGTAATGATCGAAAGATGTACAACACGTACGACAACCTAAGTGAACCAAGAGCAGTAAAAATTGGCGACGGATCAACAATTATGGCAGTCGGGATTGGTAAAATTCTTATTCAATCATATAATGGTGAGCATTTCATCGAGATGGAAATACATAATGTGTTACATGTGCCAAGTTTGAAAATTAACCTGTTTTCACAAGGAAGGCATTGGACAAAGGGTTTCGAATGGAGTCAGATGCTACGAGTGCAAAATTGGTCCATGAAAAAAGTAACCGTGTGTGTGCAGTTGCGAGGCGAACAAACAAACTTTTTAGAATGCTCTTTCGGATGAGCAAAAAGGAATTGGAGCATGATGCAGAACCGCAAGTTCAGGATAACTGCCTAGTTGCAGGCAGCAATGGGATCGGGCAAGGCAACAATAAAATCTCTCTTATGCAATGGCACGTCCTCTTGGCACACCAACATGTGAAGCACATAAAATGTATTCTGAAACAACATGGCATCAAGTGGGATAGCATTAATGATAATGTACAGTGTGAAGGGTGCATACAAGGGAAACATCACCGTAATCCTTTCCACATAAGCGATTCAAAATCGACAGCAATTTGCGACCTGATACATGCAGACATTTGTGGTCCTATGGAAGCTGATTCTATTGGTGGTACGAGGTATATGCTGTTATTAAAAGATGATTACTCGCACTACAGGTATGTCTACTTTCTTAAAAATAAGAGTGAAGTCTACGACAAACTCGTAACATTCACGGCACTTTGCAAAACACAAATGGGCAAAAATATAAAATCCTTAAGAACAGATAATGGCAAAGAGTTCGTAAATTTTAGGGTCAACAAACTCCTAATGGAACATGGA